AAGTCCCACTGTGTGAGGACATGCACACTGTAAAGTCCCACTGTGTGCTCAGAACCTAGGCTGCAGCCCAGCCCCCTAGAGCTACGTGATGAACAGTACAGCACGGCTTGGGGCCACTGGGCACTGGGCACTGGATTTTGGATTAACTTTTGGTCATCAAATGCTGAGAAAGCTTCTCCTGCCTCTTTCGTTGTGTGAGCTTCGCCCCAGCACCCACCCACAGAGGGCTGCAACCCCTCTCCTCCCCTCCTCCTGTCCATCCACATGGGGCTGCCACATCCTCCCTCCCATCCACCCACACAGGGCTGCAGCATCCCCCTCCCCCCACCCACCCACAGGGGGCTGCAACCCACACTTTAGGAAGTTCTCCCTTACTGTCACTTGTGAGGATTATGGGGTCTTTCAGAACTTGGATACAGTTATTTATTTTGTTGCCCTCTTTTGAAAAATATGGAACATTTTAGGCATTTAAAGAGGCATAGTGAAAAACATTAACAACTTTATACATTTATTGCTTGGCTCAAGCATTTGAAATGTAACTCAGTGGTATTTTCTTTTTCTTAACAATAACAATGCCAGTCTAAAGTACAGGTTTGTATATTCTAGGTCTCCTTGTTTCCATCAAGTTTACTACATTATTTTAATTTTTATTATTAACCGTCTTAAAGAGTCCAGCTGTGTATCATTGGCCACATTTGCTAAGGTGCGTACTGTGGGAATCTCAGATCAATACTAACTAGCAAATGTGCAAAGCAACTCTGAACACAGGGTGGAGGGCAAGACTGGTAAAGTCTTACCTCACTTGACACTGGATAACAGTTGTGCTGGCACAGATTCTCCACTCTTCCTTCTGAGAAGAATGCTTTTCTAAACCCCACTAAAGAGCCACGTTACCTGTCCACACTGAGAGCGCAGAGATTCAAGACGGTGATGCCCACGGAGGACTTCTGCAGAAAGGGGAACAGCTTGCAGAGAAACACTCCAAAATCATTGTGGTCGAAAGGCCAGCGCCCCGCCAACAGCTGCAAAGAGGATATGTGAGTTAAGAAAAGGAGAGGCAAGCGGTGTGCAGCCCGCTCGGATCCCAGTGGGAACACGTGACCAGACCCTTTGCTTTCAAGTACCCGCCCCGCTTCTGAATAGGTTTTTAAAGAATTTTTTCCTTTGGTCCAACCTTACTTTGTCTCTTCCTCATGTCACAACAAACATTCTTAATGAGCTTATCAAAACGTCCACACAAGCTTTGTCAACAGGCTCTCCACTAACACGCAGCTCTGAACTCTGACAATCTTCCTGAACTTCACAAATAATTTATATGACTGTGTCTGGTGCAAGTAAAGGGACAAGGCACAATTTTGGGGGCAAATCACTCTAATAAAGACAAGGACTGTGGTTTTAACATCGACTTGCCACAAATTAGAATCAACTGAGTAGGGGCCTCAGCTGGGGAACTGTCCTGTCACCTTGACTGAGGCCGGGAGGCTCACCCTCACTGAGTTTCCAGAGCACCCCGGATTCTAGAGAGGGTATTTTTCAGAATTCTTATCTAGTAGGTGGTTTACCCTGTGGTTGCTGCCGAGGCCAAGTCCAGCTTTTATTGTAGAAGAGGGGCTCCCAGCACACCAGCACTCCAGGAACTTTCCGTGGCAACCAGCGCCAGGGTAGGACCACGGAGGCAGCAGCCACGGACTGAGGAAGAACTTCTCATCGCCCCTGAGTCAGAGACTGCCGTTCTGAGACTGCTCTGACCGTTGAGGACCCCAGCCTCATGGACTGAGTAATGGGCGGGTTCCCAGTGTACTGGTAGGGATTCTGAAGGCGAGCCCTCCTCTTCCTCTTTGCTTCCTGTCTGCCTGGAGGCGGACAGTCCCTTCCCCATGCGCCGCCGCTGTAATATGCTGCCTCACAACTGACCACAGGTTGCCACCTCCGAAACTGGGAACACAGACTTAGCCACCCCAACCTCAAGAAGGACCTGGGTGTTAATCTTGTTCTCACAAGCACTTATTAGGGTAGGGGGTAAAATGACTTGGGAGAGCTTCCAGCTCGTTCTTTCTTAGATAAAAACGGGCACATCGTGGAAGCAAGCAGTCTAACTCAAGGACCTTTCTGTCTAAATTTTATTTATTCTCTCTCTCTCTCTCTCTCTCTCTCTCTCTCTCTCTCTCTCTCTCTCTCTCTCTCTCCCTTCCTCCCTCCCTCCCTCCCTCCCTCCCTCCCTCTCTTCTCCCCTCCCTTCCTCCTTCTGTCCCTCCCTCTCTCTCTTAAAGCAGAAGTGTGTAGATCAGAGTTTAGTCTTCGCTCCCATGTAAACTCAGGGAATAACTCAGATCACCTGGCTTTGTATTTAGTGCCCTTACCCACTGAACATTTTTCTTTCTTTCTTTCTTTCTTTCTTTCTTTCTTTCTTTCTTTCTTTCTTTCTTCCTTCCTTCCTTCCTTCCTTCCTTTCTTTCTCTCTCTCTTTCTTTCTTTCTTCCTTTTTAAAGAGAAAATAGGCACTTCTTTCCTATAATTTACTAACACTTAAAATTAAAAATACAGTGTTTTGAAATAGTAAACTTAAGTTGCTTAACACTTAGATAATGACAACTGAACAGTGAGTCTATCACGGGCCTGCATCTCCCACCCAAAGGCCACCCTTGCTGATGATGACATGTTTTCTTTCAGGAAACTTGCCTTGTACATACAGACTTTATCTTTTTTTTTTATATATCAATGGGAACATAATGTAAAAATACTTTAAAAAGTTTACTGTGTTCTCTTTTCTGGAGTAATTTTGTGGAAAGCACTACTGCCTAAGCAAAAGTTCTTGTTTTTAGAAACGTTTTGATGAGACAATTTAAACCAGGCTCACTCCTGATTAGCAGCTCTGTAGCATGACATCCAGACCATGGGGAAATAACTGCTAATTTCTCTAATGTTAACAAGCAATGATAGATTCCATGACAGAATAAACAAACAGCTCTGATAAGTTGTCAAGTCAAACTGGTTCAAAGGGTCGTTTTGGAGCACGAGGGATCTAGGTTATTTTTATTGCCCTAAAAAAGGGCTAGTGCTATGAAAGCCACATGTTTACATCTCTCTGAGAAGCTCATGTGGTACCTGGCAGAGAGAGAGAGAGAGAGAGAGCGCGCGAGAGAGAGCGAGCGCAGTTCCATCACCTGAGTCACTGACTAACTCAGGAATTTCATGGTTTCATGGTCTGAAACGACCGTACACAGGATCTGAGAGCATATTCACACCATTTCCACAGGATCAGTGTTCCAAAGGAGAATTTCCAGGAAGTGGCAGCCGAGGGTACAAAGTTGGTTGTCTGTTATAAACTCTGCTTTGGATGAGAGGTGCATAGCTTCCTAAGAGGTCCAGGGAAGGCTCAGAGAGGATAAGTCCCACAAGTAAACCCTTATCAGTTTCCTCTTTCTCTAGAGGAGCTCAGAGGAGCACTGAAGACAACCAAGGACTGTCATCTCAGCAGGGACGCTTGCCTTGTTCTAATCAGTTGGAAATGTTTGCACATTGTAAGCCTGCACATGTGGAAACTCCAGGTCCTGTGGGTGACTTAGATTGTGTCCAGTCGATATCACAAACCAATAGGCTGTCTCTTTCTTAAACCCACAGGACACAGATTTTCCCACAAAGTTGCACAATTTGCTACCACACTGAGGCCTGTTTTCAGGATGGCTACAACCCCAGGCTCCTTTTATGTCGGCATCTGTATACTGTAGTTTTGTGTAAAGTGGTATCTCATCCAACACGCACAGCGTCAGTTTGTGCTCCTTCTCTGGACCATGCCTGAGAACCAGAAAGGAAGGGGAAAGTCTAGAACTGGAGAGATGATCTGAAATTAAGTCTTAGTGATTTCTATTCATTGTAATAACTCTCTGCTACAGGCTGGCCCTGTAACAACTCATCCAATGCTATCTGCTTAGGTTTTAGTCTTTAACTTGTTACAGATTCAAGCTGATCATCAGCAGAAACACTGAGAGAGATGTCCCAATATTGGTTTCAAATAAGGATTATTAAGTGAGCTAGAAGAAAATCCAGTATTTAGAGATAACCCATATCTCTTTGCTTATCAACCAGGGGAAATGTGTTTTTGAGAATATGTGACACTATTGGAATCTTCTGGATAGTAAGGACTAGAAGGGATGTTCCTGGCATCTGGGGAGTAGAGGCTAAGGGTGTTGCTAATATCTTTCAAGGCTAATATTCCCGGAAGTAACCACCAGGATGCAAGATGTTAATGCTGTTGAGGTTGAAATGTGCCATCCCTGAGACTACACCGGAATTTCGGAGTGAGGACAGATGTAGGAAGAGAAGATGAACAGGGCGGGGGGCAGGGCTTAACAGACACTGAGCAGCGTCAGAGGCACACGGAGGGCTTCTGACAATAGTGATTGTCAGAATCTCCAGAACTTGTGACTCAGCCGCTCTGGGGTTGGGCCTAAGAATTGGCATTCCTAACAAACTACCAAGAGGCTCTGATGCTCATTTGAGAACTGTTACTCTAGAGGTACCATGAGGAACAAGAATAAGAGCTAGTAGCCAGTTAGACCTGGATGAGCAGGAAACAAACGAAAGACCAAAACCCCAAACCAACCAACTGAACACACCACTGATCCTTGAGGGAGAACCTGTCACAGTGGCTCGGGGCTGGGCAGCTTGTGTAACTCACATCCCAGTTCCCTCGCTGCCCTAAGGACATCAGCACAGAGAGACTTATCAAACAGTAAGGACTCTAGTGTCTGGGCCTCACTGGCTTGATGCTATTTCTTCATTCCCTAAAGTCAGGACAGGCTGAAGAGGATCCCTATTGCTGTGTGACCTAGGGTAAGCTACCTAACCTGTCTGATCCCTCTGTTTCTGTGCTCTTCAAATGGGTATGGTCTCACACCTGCCACAGTGGTGTGAAGGCCATTTGGGAGGCTCACACAGGACAGTGTGAGAATCCTGCCAACGGAACACACACCATAATTGTTATCTTGGTTTGCTATAATTTGTAAACCCAAATTGGATTGTGTGTATCATTTATGTACAACTTCGGTGAGAACAGTGGGTAATGTGAATAACTGTGCCAGTGTCTTCCTGTTCCAGATGTTAGCATCTGCAGTTTCTTACTCTCATCACGATGATGTTCTTTCTGTTCTTGTCCCCACATCTTAAAACCATACAGGGAGAACCGGCAGCAGGCTTGCCTTTGTCCTGAGTCCCTCCAGCCCCTCTGGAAGGCGGAGCGATTTTCCTCTTTTGTCTCACTCCACCCATCCCAGACGGGAAAGAAGGATTTATGAATATAGTCTGCAATAGCTAAAAACCTCAGTGTTTAAAGAATGTTCCCTTCCCTGGAACAAGCATGATTGTGGGTCACTTGGAACCAGATAGACACCAGTCTTCAAAGAGCAGGATTCTGACTTTTCTTCCTCGCTTCCCTTCCCCTCCCCTCTCCTCCCCTCTCCTCCCCTGCCCTCCCCTCCCCTTCCCTCCCTTTTCTCTCCACCCCTTTCCATCCCCTGTCTTGCCTTCTCCCCTGTCCTCCCCTCCCTCCCCTCCCTTGTCCTTCCTTCCCCCCCACCCCGCCTCTCTTTCCCATCTCCTCTCCACACCTTTCTTCCTCTCTCCTGTCCTTCCCCACTTCCCTTCCCTGCTTTGTTACTCGCTCCCTCCATTCTTGGAGAGGAATTGGGATATACAAGTTGTAGAGAAGAATACACCCCCACCAGCGCAGACTTGAGGTAGTTACAAAGCCGGAGACACTCAGGACAGGGCTTTTAGTGAGAGCATGAGTTCTGGCTATTGCAGACCTCGAGTCAAATGTTAGAAAGTCCATCATGCTCCTGAGGGGGATGGGTTCTCTCCTCTGTCACACTCCTGACGGGGGTGAGTTCTCTCCTCCATCATGCTCTAATTGCTTCAGGACAATTGAAATGAGGCAGAGCTTTCATACAACTGTAACCAAGATTGGCTTCTGTGCCATGCACATAGTTTCTTTGTCAGGCTCCTCTTGCCTCCCAGACAGGCC